AGGGGCCGCGAAGGGCGCGGTTCGCCGCTGCCCGGGAGCGGAGCGGACAGCGCTTCCTCAGGAAAACAATCGTTTAGCGCCTTCAATTGAGTTTTGGCCCAAGGCTCGGGCGTTGCTGCCTGGCTGCTTTCAGCTCGCCTCACTGACTAACAATAAAAGAGCCGTTCTCTCTTTTTGTCTGTTGCTCAGTTTCTGTCTCTGCCTAGTTGTGCTGGAATGTACAAGATAAGAATTCAGTGTCATAGGCTTAGCGTTTTACAGCCAAAGTGCAGCTGTGGAAGGCCCTTGGAGGAACGTAGGATTCCAGAGAAGGAGAATCTGGCCGCCTGGTTCTTTTGTTTGTTTAGTGAACTATGTTTCTCTTTGCTTGCTATATGAGGTAATGTAGAAAGTTGTACGCAGCCCTCAGGTTGGACTCTGCTGCCTGCTGCCCTGTGATGCTGCTCAGTCAAGGAAGCTATCTTTGCACACTTGTCCAGTTAGTGTCTCTGCTACATCTCTTCCAGCTATTGTTTGGCCTGTTGCTACCACCACTGGGGACTTGTGGAGAACTAATCAGGATGTTTTGTCACATCTGCAAGTTTCAGAAGCTGCAGCTATTTGCTTTTTGACGGTGGGATTCTACCAGGCAGCTTTTCTTTTTTCCTGGAATGTTCTTTCATCCTCATTTTCATTCTGTGTGCATCACACTTTGTTCTCTATCTGTAATGAAAAGAAGATTGAGTTTGTGACTGGAGAAATTGTGTTTTAAATACTCTAGTTGCCTTAGCTTGCAGCTTCTCAGAAGTCTCTTGAATGGTGTGTTATTAGTGGCTCTGCTGATTTCTCCTTATCTTGCAGCTTACCCCCACACCACTGCTTTGTATGAAGGAACTCACTCTGCAGAAGCAGAGTGAATTAATCTTTGATCTATTTCAGCTTGGCTGCTCTCTCCCTGTATAAAACTGTGAGAATTGCTTACGTGCCGTTGTTGAGAAGAATGTGTTGGGCGACCCGTAATTGACTGATAATCCCGATGATGCAAACTGGCAGCCTGCGGTTCTTCCCAAGAGCTTCCCAGCAGTTATTTTATCAGATACCTCACTGGTGCACTGCAGAACATCACTGTAAAATTCAGCATCTGTCACTTCTCTTGTCTGCAGCCATACACAAATCTTTTCAAAGAACACTTTTGACAGACAACCTTGTGTTAACATGCTGACTTGGAGTACTGTCTGTATTTGTCCTCTTTTGGAAAGCTGCTTCTGCTGACCCACTGATCTGTGTAGGTCCCTCAAGGGGATTTTTAGACTCAGAGTGTCTGAAGAGTTTCCTATCTTTCTAAATTTTAATTCTTAGTTCTCTGGGTTCTGCTTATCCAGTTAATTTTGATGTTTGAATCTCTTCTTCAGTAGGCTCATGTGGTATCTGTTCCATGGTGCTGCTGTGCAAAGCAACAGTCAGATTCAGTTGTTTGTACTCAAGGAAATAATCTTTGAGCCTTGCCTCTTCACTGTGTATTTGCTGTGCCTTGAACACTGAATGGATTTAGATGGTTTTTAGCTCTGAGTTGGTTTACTCATGGCAGAAGTAATTACCTGTTCAATTACTGTAATAACTGTTCGGTTATTGCAAGCCAATCTGATTACTGGAGTTGACGTGTGCTTATGTCATATGACTGAAAGCTCTTAGGCTTTCAGGTTTTGGCCATCACAGGCTTTAGCTGCTGAATGGAGAACAGTGAATGGAAATCAAATACCACTTGGGAACTGCTTGTCTGTTTCTAGGCTACATGTAGAATGTAAACCTACATATCCTGCAGTTCCGGGATTGTGCAAAGTGGCTGCTTTGAGGAGTATGTACAGAGCTGTCCTACTGCTTGTATACTAGTAATTACCATAGTGTACTTAAAGATTTAGTGATAAGGTATGCCTGTTTTGAGCTATTGCTGCAAGACATTTGAAAGTCTAAATCATTTTTTATTTCTTTATTTTTTGTGTGTGTGATTCAAGAAGTCTGGAAAAGCAATTCATAGTTTTATTAGGTTCATCTACCTCTTTGTGAGACAGAAGGATTGGGTGTGTTCCAAATTACTAGGGCAATGCTACAGAGTACATTGATTCAGCTTTCTTGGTTCCTGTCTGTATGCAGAAGCCTTAGTGCCTTGTGCCACTTACGCAGTGAGGCACAGTGCTGTTCCGCTCCTGGGTTCCTTATGCTTTATTGCCTCAATTCCTAGTTTACTTTGGACAACAAGAAGATAATTTGGTTCAGGGTAAGTGTAGAAGAAGGGACTAGAGCCCAATTTATTGATTATAAACGGTATGAAAATAGCACCAGCAGCTGCATGTGCCTTCAGGGTTAGAGGCCTCTTGAGAACATACTTTGCTGCAAGTTATCATGTCTCTCCTAGCAAAGAGTAAGTTACATGTTTCTGTGTTGGAGTAGGAGAATAGAACATTGATAATCAAAATTTGTAAAGAAAGGGCATGTTAGCCTATGCTCATGTGATTTGGGGACCATTTTTCCATAGGACAGCATACACTCTGTGCTGTCTGTGACTTAGCTCTGTGAGCTGTGAAGGTTTATTTGAAACACTGTTTTAATTGAGCTCTCATACCGGCAGTCTTCCTTTGTACTATCTTTCCTTGTCCAAGCTGGAGTTTTTTACCTGATGCACCTTTTCTGAAAGACAGGCTCTCCTGTTTGTTGTCCAGATGAGAATGGTAAAATTTTTATCCAGAGTGAATCTTGGGGCAGGATAAGGCTTGGTTTTCTTCCCTCCAGGATTTGGAAGTAAAATACCAGGTGATGAATGTAAAACGGCTTGACTCTGTCTTGCAATTTTATGTGATTAGGAATCGTACAAATGCTTTTCTGTCATCACCCCCAAGACCTGCTCAACCTGATTAAGGCACTGAGTCTCTTGCTATTCTGAGGCCAGATCTTCATTGAGAGCCTTACTTGACTGGGACTTTTCCACTTGATGTGCCTAGTCTTACAGTCATTTTATGGGTTTTAAGACAACAAGCTGCTCTTGGGATTGATGCTAAAAAGGAAGGAGAAGGCCAGAGGAATACTGACTGTAACCAGCTCTTGAGGTAAGCTGTGCATTTTCAAAATGTCATGTAATTCTGAATCTGGCCTGCCAGATACTATCTGAGGGGTGGAATGGTAGAGTGGACAAAGTCTGGCTGTTGTAAAGAGTGGAGGAGGATGGTGTTGCGGTGCGTATGCAAATATGCACTTTTGAATTGGCTGAAGCCCCAGATGGCTTTGGAGTTCAGGCTTCCTGGATTCCTGCAGGAACTGCGAAGACCATACACATGCTGAGAATAAATTGAGCAAGGCAGCTTCAGAAGGGATTCTCATGATAAACTGTGTTTGGTTTAATAGGGGAATGGCTGATTTCTCTGTGCAGCAAGTTCCTTCATTGTAAATTAAGTATGTCTGATCTGGTGGAGACTTGCTAGCTGCAGTGATAACATTCAGCATTTCCAGGAGCTGCTGTGAAAGAAATGCTAAACTTGCATCCCACATCCTCAATTTCAGCAGGCGTGAGCGATAATGTAACTATCTCAGAAGCCTGCACCAGGAGATCATAGTATTCTGTTGGTCTAGGTGAGGAAGCTGCCTAAACTGGAGTGAGAAGATAGTCACAGGGGGCTGATAAAGGGGTCTGTGTGTGTACAAATGCAGGGAAACATCAGTGCACCTGAGTTTCATATCTTTCCATGCAGTGATAGCAGTCTCTGCGAGGGAACAAAGTGGCATATGAGCTACCTTAACTGAGATCATCAGTGTATTTCTAGGTTGTGGTGGGTGTGCATGGGTATTAGACTCAGCTAATTTCGTGGAAGTTCCATTTTCCAGGACAGTCACATAGTCCAGTTTCCTGGACCAGGTATCTCTGCAGCTGCTTGGTCTTTCCTGATCTGTAGGAAGTCCTCTCTTCTTTACTTGCCTTGCATCAGGAAAATTTCAAAGGCTGCTGGTTTTCCTTCAAGTCTTAGCCTGTCTTGGCATTCCTTTCCCAGGTGATCAAGGAGGTCAGGAAGGTATGTTAATCATGAAACAGTGTTCCTGCTCCACACTCTCTTCTCTGTTCTGAGGAAAGGAGGATTGGGTTGCCCCAGCAGGAGAAATAAGAGCTTCCATAGGAGTTGGGAAGTTGTTCTTTGGATGCTTACCATCTCATTCAGAGTATGCTAGAAACTGAGTCTTGGGAGGAGTTCTTAAGGGCAGGACTACTCCTGAGTGTGGTCAGATCTCATTTTTGGTAGCTCGAAGCCTTTGCTCCTGAGGTCTGCTGGTGGGGAGGGTTGTCTCTCTCCCATGTGACTTTCTCTCTGGCTCTGTGGGAGAGAGCAGGGCTACTCACTCCACCCAGGAGAGGATTAAAAAGGAACTGAACAGGTACGTTTCTTTACAGCCTCTTACTACCAGATGAAGCACAAACCACCATGTCTGACAACTGTCTGGGACCAAACCCTGAACACAAGCTTATGTTCTAAGGCAGATAAAGGAGTGGAAGGTAGACCTTCAGAGCAAATGCTGAGTTAACTTTTCTTCTGTGATGGCTATTCATGTTTTGGATTTATGATGTTATAGGAAGGGACTGGGATAAAGCTAGGTGCTGCTACTCTGCCTAGGAACCTGTTTGGGTATCCTGAGTGGATTAAGGCATCTCAAAAAATATGGGGCATCAGTAAACACCAGCCCATGGGAGGGAGGCTGCCTGGACTGCATGTTCCCTCTCTCATGTACAGACAGTAGCTGAGTCAAAGGAGCTGTTGTTTTATTAGTCCTGTAAACTGACCTGGCAGTACGGACAGGGGGTAGCAGATGGGGCTTTGCTGATCAGAGTGACTCTCCTTCCTGTGTGAGTACCCCAACAAGCTCTTAGAAGTATTCCTTAGGTTATAAGGTTGGTATTCAATTTCACAATGTGCTGTTTTAGTGTGAGGCCTTGATCTCTGGTACAATGCAATGTAACAATTGAGATAGTTTTCAGAGCTGCTCACTATCCTTTCTCTTAGCAGGTGTGGGTCATATGCTGTTGTAAAGGCATCTGGAGCAATGCCACCACCTTTGGACATTGTGAAAGTGGCTGTTGAGTGGCCAGGTGCCAATGCCCAGCTGCTGGAAATAGATCAGGTGAGACCTGGTAACGAGATGGAGGAGAAAGCACCACAACGGTGATACTGGAATGTGGGAGGCATAGAAATGGGCACTTTCCGGTTGAGAACTTGACCTCTGAGGACTTTCTCTTTCTGTTCCAGAAAAGGCCTCTTGCATCCATCATCAAGGAGGTTTGTGATGGGTGAGTAGTTCTCTGGGAACCCTTTTGGAGAAAGTCTGTACCCCTGACAAATCTTGCTGGGGTAATGTGGAAAGTCTCTGCAGCTTGTCAATGTGCTGCTGGCACGATCCATGCTGCCTGCTGCTGGTTTTGGCTATGGAATGGGCCAGGGTTTAAATCAGGAAGAAAAGGATTTCCTGGAAAACAGGAGCTTTGCATCTTTATTTCAATTCTGAGTGTGTGCATATGTATGCCCTTCAGGTCACTGTCTCTGGAGACTGGCCCATCGTGCTGTTTTTGAAGTGCAGGCCTCATCAGCAATTTTACAGAGCTTGACTTAGAGCAGGCTGAAGTCCCATTTTCCTCTCAAGAGGAAGTTGTTTTCTCCTCTTTGAGAGACCTAATTTCCCATGCTAAAGCTTTGCTCAAAAGTTGTTTTCAGCCCTTCTGGGATTAAGCTTCTTTTCCTAACTGAGAACCAGAAGAAAGAGGAGGAAGCTTACATATCCTTCTTCTTCCTCTGCCAGGTGGTCATTGCCAAACCCGGAATACTACACCCTGCGGTATGCTGATGGTCCTCAGCTGTACATCACAGAGCAGGTCAGTGTGAGAGGTAGCAATTTGCTCATGTCCTGGGCAAGAGTGCAGAATGCCTTGGACCAATGTCATGGAACAATACTGTCCCTAATCTTTGACTTGAATGGTGTCATTCAGCTGAGGAGCCTTGGACTTCTCCCTCTGCATGCCCATAGGTGCAAGGACCCAGTGACTCAATGCCCTCAGTAAGGTTGTGTGGTACAGGAACCCGTATGTGCACTGTAGATCAATTTGCATTCTTTTCCCTGCACATTCCTGTGGTTTAAAGTTTCATGTTTACTTTCAGACTCGCTGTGACATCAAGAATGGAACTATCCTACAGCTGGCAGTCTCCCCGGTAAATGCTTCCTCACACCCCTTTTTCTCAGTAGCTATCCTCATATGACAGGCTGTTTCTTGCCTCAGCTTTTCTTTGTCCCTTGATTGTACAATGAGGTGCACACTCTTGTTTTCCTTCCTGGTTGCGGTGTGTATTTTTCCTTTGGATGCTCTGCCCTTTTATAGGACTTTCTGTAATAAAGTCTACCTTTTTATTGTGTTTCCTAGACTAGCATGTTATAAAGCACCTGGCAGACGCATTCTCTGTATGAGTGCAGCCAATATTACTGGTCGGAAAGCAATAAACAGTACTGATGACTTAATGCAGAAGTTAAAATAAGAGACAAATTTGATGCAGAGGGGATTGTTCCTTGTGGATTCTTGCTGTTGTGACCTCAACAGCTGTCTTTTGCAGGATTGCTGAAGTTTCCTTTTTGTTGAAATTCTTAAACCTTTCTGTGCAAGTGTCATTGCATATAGCTGAGAGTGAATAAAAAAGCGAGAAGTTATTTGTGCAAGAGGTGGTTGAGTGGATATCATTGACCCGTATCTGACAAATTTTACAGAATATAGCGTGCATACACCAAATGAGCTTGTGCTTCTCTTTGGATGCCTGAGAGAGATTTTTTTTTTGGCATTGTATTTCTTTAATGGTCTCACTCCATGTTTCTATATCCACCTCCACTCCTCTCACCGAGAAGAAAAACACGCATTCACTCTAACATGTAACATAGCATTTTACTCACCTCCTGCTTGGCTGTAACTGTCGCTGAGTGCAGCTTTTTTAGTCTATCTTGCTGACTGCTGCTACTTATCCTGTCATTTCTTGTATTTCTCTACCCTTGCTGTGCTGCCTCTGCCCATCCATGGATTTCTGATGGAAAGCTGTTGCTGGCAGAACTCAGTCTGCAGGTGACTAGTCTGTTACTGGCACGATCCCTCTTTCCTCCCAGTCTAGGGCAGCTCGCCAGCTGATGGACAGGATCCAGTCACATAGTGTGGAAGCCCGACTGGATGCCATGAAGGAACTGGCTAAACTTTCAGCTGATGTGACCTTTGCCACAGAGTTCATCAACATGGAAGGGATTACAGTGCTGACACGACTTGTGGAGAGCGGGACCAAGCTTCTATCCCAGTAAGTTTCCTGTATTCCAGGATTCTGGAACAGAAACTCAAATAAGGAGCTGTATTACCATGACAATAAACAAACAAACAAAAACCCTGAAAAAGAGAACCCTCAAACGCTGATCTGGAAGTTTCCCCAACTACATTCGTGGTGAACTTTGATGCACTTGGCTTTTCCACTGTAGTTGTTCTGTTTAATTGAAAGCACTTTTAAAGTCATGATAATTTATTGTAACATTCGTAGGTCTTCTATTTTCTTATATATTAGCAATTAACATGTTTTCAGCATGTTTATCAGTCTTTCCCTCAGTCTTTTTTACCTTTCTGTCTTGTTATGTATTAAATTTTCCACCAGTCATGCTGTGCTTTCATTTTGTTTCAAGCCAGGTCCCAATGCTTACAGAACGGCTCTGTTTTATTCTGATGTCAAAACATTTGTTTCTCGCGTGTGTGTGGAGGGGTTTAATTTCTAAACGTTTTTGCATGTTTTATGACATAAACATACTCAAAGCATAAAGTATGATACTACAAAACAGATTATCTTCATAAATACAAATACTTTATTGCTCCCCCAGTGCCAAACTGTAGCCTGTCTTATTAGGAGAAGTTGGTGAAATTTTTCTCTCGTCCAGCTTAGTCAGCTTGGACAGGCTTTCTCCTTTCTACCAGATCTCTTGTAACCACATTCTTCATTTTCTTAGTTACAGTGAGATGCTGGCTTTCACCCTGACTGCCTTCTTGGAGCTCATGGACCATGGTATTGTCTCCTGGGACATGGTCTCAATCACCTTCATCAAACAGGTGAGTAAAGGGGGTGAGTGAATGCTATTTCTGTTCATGCTTTAATGCAGCTTCCAGGAAGAGCAAAATGACCGTGAAGCTGAGTACTCATTGAGAGCACAGTGCACCTAGCTTTCTGAGCCATATCTTCCTTGGCATATCTTTCACATCTCAAGGTTTCCTGCATGGGCATCTGTTGACCTGCTGCTTTGTCTGGTTTTAGATTGCAGGGTATGTGAGTCAGCCTATGGTAGATGTCTCCATTCTCCAGCGATCCCTAGCCATTCTTGAAAGCATGGTGCTAAACAGTCAGACTCTGTATCAGAAGATAGCAGAAGAGATCACTGTGGGGCAGCTCATTTCTCATCTGCAAGTGTGAGTGTCCACCCAACAGTGGTGTGATTTAAATCAATTTTATTAATATCTGTTAATTTGAAAATACATCATTTTATGTTTAAAACACTTGAAGATGCTGTTACTGATACGACATCTTTAACTTCAGGATTTGTAATGTATTTTTTTAAAAAAAGTAAGATTCTCATACAAAGTAAGCTGTTTTAGTAAAATGCAGGTTAGGTCCCAACACAGAACTCACTTGTGCAATTGTTCAAGCAAAATATTTTTGTTCAGGACATATACTCATATGCATAAGTGCTTCCAGAACACAGAATGTTGCTGAAGAAACTATCTATGCAGGCAATATTGTAGAAAGGGAGGCTGGAGAGTGAGTTGGAAGTTGCTGGTGTGTATTTGGCAAGACTATCAGGAGTGTACAATCTTTATTAGAGCATAGGTTCTGGAAAAACAGGTCCATGGAAATAAATCTGAGAGATGAGTTAGAAGAGGAAAAATTAATTTAAGTGTTACTTTGCTGTGTCAGAAAGCAAGCAGTGTGGTGAAAATAGCAGCAGACCCTGAGAAGGAGGGTAGAAGAGGCTAAGTGACAGACTTCAGAGACCTGCGATGTTCGGAAGCCCAAGGAAAACCTAAGATGATGCATGAACATTTGCATGTTTGAAGACTGGCAGGTTGACCAAGATGAAGAAGATTTGGAAGGAAGCAGTAGAAGAGAAAATATGGTTGTTATCCACAGATATGCCAGGGATAAATGCCGAAGTGGGGAAAATAGCTATTTAAGCTAAAAGTTGTTTTAGCTTTAGATGTTTCATAAAAGTCGAATTTTATAAATATAAATATTTTCTTAAAAGCTATACATGCACACAAATTCACTCAGGTCATGCACTGGACTTGTGTTAATCAGAAGAGCTTGAACTTCTGCAGAAGCCTCCCAAGAGCATATTGAGTCCGGCTGAGATGGAGTTAATTTACCCCACAGCAGCCCTCTTAGTGCTGTGCGTTGTATTGGTAACTAGAAAGGTGTTCATAACACCAGTATTCTGGCTGCTGCTGAGCAGTGCCCCTACAGCATGAAGATGCTCCCACCAGCATTCACCCCTCACCAGTAGGCTGAGGGTGGGCAAGATCTTGGGAGGGTACAGAGCCAGGACAGCTGACCCAAACTGACCAAAGGGATATTCCAAACCATATGATGTCTGCTCAGCAACAAAAGCTCTAAGACAAGGGGGCAAGGAGGAGGCATTCATTGTTACGTTTGTCTTCTGGAGCAACCACTATGCATACTGAAGCCCTACTTCCTGGAAAGTGGCTGAACATTGCCTGTTAATGGGAAGTAGAGAATAAATCTTTTTTTCTCCTTTGCTCTGCACGTGGCCTTTGCTTGTGTTTTATTAAACTGCCTTGATCTTAACCCACGAGGAGTTTTCCATCTTATTTTCTCCCCTGCTGTGTTCTGCTGAAGGCAGTGCTAGAGAGGGTTGGTGGGCACCTGGGCATCCAGCTATACTGTTATTCTTTGTGAGTAATGGTATAGCAAGAAACAACTGGATTTAATACAGCATCCAGATAAGGGTGGAAAACAGTATGATTGATATTTTGAAAGTTTGTTCAAAACATCACAAGTGAAACCACATGCTGGGTATGGTGGAGGAAGGGACTAAGCACCCTTTGCCTGAAGCAGCTCTTCAGAGAAAATAAGAAAAAGATGTGTGAGTTGGGCCAAACTGTTGAGATTGGAAGGCAATGCCATGAAGAGAGGCATACTTCCCCCTTAGTTTACGTTGCATTTGGTGGCTTCCATTGACATAGGGGAGAAAAATTACTTGCTCTATGTATATTTCTAGCTGTATGTATATAACAGGCTGCAGTGTACCTAGGCTTTACAGAGGTAATTTCAGCCTTGGAGAAAAAATGGTGGTGCTGAAGTCTGAGCTCTCCTGGGCTGCAGTCTGCACTATCTTCTGAATAGTGGAGCTATCATGTCAGCAATTTCCGTCAGCTTTTGCAGGCTTTGTGAAGAGTTGGATGGCATGAAAGTAAGTTACCTGGATCCTCCTTGTCTGTTGAAATGCAAGGTAGCTGGAGTAAATGTTCTTATGATGCAGGCGAAGCAGCAAGCTGTAATGTTCTATACTGTCTATTCTCTTATCATTTTCCCGTTTTTGTTTCTGCAGCTCAAACCAAGAGATTCAGACATATGCCATTGCCCTGATCAATGCCCTGTTCCTGAAGGCTCCTGAGGACAAGAGACAGGTTTGTTCTTGCTTTTTGACTTTAAACCTGAATAATGGTTACTGTCTGGCTTTTTATGCCTCAGAAGTTGTACTCTCTGGGCAAGGCAGACTTCAGACCTTGCCAAGAACTTATGTAGCTGGTTTAGTGTGGCAACATAGGAGAAAAAGTACCATCCCATTAATAATGTATTGTGGAGCAGCACATTTTGTTTAGGAGGTCCTCAGAAAAGAATCTGAAAGGCCTTGAGACAGAAAACAATCCTCTCTACAGCATGGAAGTTAATTGTGTATGGGAGAGGTGGGGGGTGAGTCCTTGAGGTCCTGTGTACTTCATAAACAAACACCCTGTCTCCCCCTCCCCCAGACAAGGAACCTGTCTGAAGTCAGGGAGATATTCCTGCTGGAAAATTTGAGCAATGACACACCTGTACTGAACACCTGTCCTGCTCTGAGGAAACCCCGAGATCTCGGCTACATGCAGGATGTGCATATGTCTGTATTGTGTAGCTTTGCTGTGTTAAGCCTTTCTTCTCTAGTGCCCTGTTTGTGCCTTATTTCTGGACTCCAAGCTAAATCCTGTCTGCTTCTCTTTGTGCTTTTTTTTTGCTTTCTGCCAGCAGGACAAGCTGCTTAACCCACTAGACCTGCCCATCACTGTAAGTAACTTAATCTGGGGGCTGGTCATGTGGAACTGCAGGCATGTTAGCTTTTCTCCAGTTACACCTCCTTGTACCTCAGACATAATACAGGCTTCAGATAGTGGATGAACCTAGGGGAAGGGTGGGAGGACCCCTGGGAATGCACTCAGATCATTAAGGGGAGACCAATCAGTAGCAGGAGAAATCTGGAATGACTTACTGTGCACACTAGATAATAAAGATGATCGTCAAAGGAAATGGATACAAGACTGACCAGGTGAACCAATTGTAAAACTGGAGCCAGTTCTTTAGCAGCCTGGGTCTCCTTAAACTTACTACAGCCTGAGTGTATACCACAAATCTTGCTTGTGTTAATGACAGTTTCATATTCAGCTGCATCCTTCTGAAAGTAGAGCTGTTTGTCTCTGAAGAACAGTCACAAAACTTCTGCCTGTGACTTCGCCCTTATGAGACTTGTACTGTAAGAATGTTTTTTGCCCTGTGCTGTCTCCAGGGGAAGAGAGAAGGCTCAGGGTGGTCTATCAATATGTATAAATATCTGATGGAAGGGAATAAAGAAGAGGGAGCCTGACTCTTCTCAGTAGTGACTGCTGCCAGGACAAGAGGTACAGCTTAAAACAGGAGATTCCACCTGAACACACACAAGCAAACAAAAAAATTAGGGTGGTCAAACACTGGAACAGGGTACCCAGAAAGATTGTGGAGTCTCCCTCAAGAGATATTAAAAACCTGATTGGACATGTCCTGTGCAACCTGCTCTGTCTGATATTGCTTAAACCAGGGGACTTGGACTAGATGACTTCAACATCTAATCCCTTTCAACATAAATGATTCTGTGATTTTGTGACCCCATCAGGCAGCAAAGTGGGCATTACTGGACTCTCAGCAGAACACAGATTCCTTAGCAATGGCTGGGCTTTGTGCACGCTCATGCTTCTTACTATGCTGCTTACAATTGTCTTTGTCCTTACCACTGTTTATCTGCTTCAGTCGCCTGTTACTTCATCTCATGCACAAACTAATTTCTTCAGAGTAAGAATTATTTGTGTTGCATGCATGAACAAATCTTAAGAGCAGGCCTTGTTCTATTCTCAGTACTACATCTCTTGAATCATAGTAAAGAATGACGACTCAGAGGGTAGTGTGTTATCTCTGAAACCACTTCCTACTCCATCTAGATGCTTCTTGGATATCTTCCACTCAAGCACTGATTCATTTTGGTTGTAACATGAGTGCTGCTGAACTTGCAGCTATTATGGCTTGGCTGTCAGCCAGCATATCACTTTCTTGTTTTAGGAGGTTTCTGTCTGGAGCAAAAGTGGTAATAGGAACTTGGAATGAGGGTAATACCTTTTACCAGACTCCTTATAAAGCCTGTCAAGAACAGGGTTGATATGAGCAGTTGGAACAGTCTTGGATTGCTCAGAATGATTGAGTGCAATTGTCTGCACATCTGGTTCCAGTTCTGAGTCTGCAGTACATAGGAATGTGAAGAGCTCTCTGGCAGTTCTTTTGGACTTCTTCCAGATTATATACTGCCAAGCAGATTTTTCTTACCCAAAGGTTTTGCTTATAAAAGCAAACTTCTGATAATGCCCATCTTGTCTTTAACACTTGTGCTGCTCCCCAGGCAGGTCTGGTGAAATCATTGGTATTTGAAAAAGTGCATCTTCACAATTTACAAGGAAAGCTCAGGTTAGGTTTTTGCAGGTGCCTGTCTAATTAGTCCCAGAACTGAAGATTTGCAGTAGATACTTGCATTTGCTGTTTGTCATCATGACCTGATGGCTGGGAAACCCTCTAATCTGGGGAAGGAAACCATGCAGTAAAGAGGGAGATTGGAAGCTTTCCTTTAAGCATGAAAATTCTTTACCCTTAGTTTTTGTAACTGAAATGCTTCTGCAAATTGTCCTTAAACTGGTTTCTGAGTATCTCTTTAGGAACTGAGACAAAGGAAGTGTGAATTTCAGAGGGAGAGTTTTTGAGAGGGAGGAGGCCCAGGACTATTCTATCTGGGTGTATACCTACATATAGAAAATTTTGACATGCTATTTGAAGGAACCTCTTCTAGATGACAGGTTCTTCTGGGCAACCCACAGTATGCTCCCTGCTGCCACATCTCCTGATATTGAAGTATGATTAGATGTCCAATGTTCTTTGACTATGCTGGTGCCTTTCTCTCCATTGATGATGTTTTGTAGGGGAGCCATCCATGAGTTGTGCCATGGTAAAGATGACACTTGCATCCCAACTCAATACTTGCTTTGTGGTGAGATGCCACGCTAAATCGACAATCTGTAGTAAAAGCACTTTCTTGTGTGCTAGTGCTCCAATTCACAGGGTTCCTTCTTCCTCTCCTTTCTGCACAATGTGGGCTTTTTGTTTATACTTCACTCATATTATTTCATCTCTAAATTCCACAGGAAATGGCTAATGCATTTGCCCAGAAGCACCTGAGGTCTATAATCCTGAATGTAAGTATGTCTGGAATGACAGAGCACTTCCTAACATTCTCTCAATAGAGGTTTCACTTGTGCAGAGTGTAAATTCTGCTGCCCTCAGGGCACTTCCAGAAAAGTGATTGTTTCAAAGGTGAAGTTGGAACCACTTGTTCAAAAGGAGTTATCAGGATGCTTCTTTCTGCTGTTAAAAGCATTATCATTATGTTTCTGATGGAATATGGAAGTTAAAAACAGCTGAATCTTCATATACAGAGATATACATGCAGCCTGGCATATGCTACAGCTAATAGTTCAGGTTTTGTTTTTATTCTCTTAATTTCTACCCTATCCTTTATTTTGCAGCATGTGATCAGAGGAAACCGTCCAATTAAAACAGAAATGGCACATCAGCTGTATGTGCTGCAGGTCCTGACCTTTAATCTCCTGGAAGAGAGAATGATGACCAAGATGGATCCCAATGACCAGGTCACTGCTAAAGCTGAGTAAGATCTGATAGAATAGGAGGAACAAGAAGCCTTATTCCTGAGCTTCTTAGCTCCATAGGGTTTGAAGTGGATGGCGCATAGTTTCAAAACCGCCTCTCACTGTAGTCCTTGAGATTAGGGTATGCTTATGACTATCCTGCTGTATGCTATGGGACTTGGAGAGTTGTAAGCAAGCAGTCACTGGAAGCTGTGTGTTGCCTGCTTGGCCAGTGTGATGCCAGTTGTCAAACTGATTACTCCACCTTTATGGAGGGCACATAATTTTATCAGTTGCCGTGCTGCGTACAAGGAAGGTGGGCATTTTTAAGGTGTCCCTTACTCAGTTCTTAGATGCGTTGTAGTCTGGAGTGAGAAATGCCTTAGCATTATCTGAATGCCTACAAATGCCTTTAACTAAACTTGTGGCGGTTAAAGGAAGATGCAAACAAACATTTTGCATTAGCAATGTACTGAGACTTGCCATTTTGAAGTGGATTGCCTCTTGTTATGCAGTATTAATGACCTTTGGCATTTCTCTGTAATCACTGTGTGAGCTCTGGAGGGGGGGACGATGGCTGTGCATTATGTGAAAATACTGCCCTAATGACTGATCATGTTACTGTTTCTCTGCCTTCTGTCCTTCAGGCACAGAGAGACATCATTTTTGAGTTGAGAAGAATTGCATTTGACGCAGAGTCTGACAGTAACACCGTCCCTGGCAGTGGAACAGAAAAACGCAAAGCCATGTACACCAAGGACTACAAGATGCTGGGATTCACTGTATGCATCTAGAGAGAGTGCTGACTGTAAAGCATGTGAATACAGTCTAAGTGATCTCCATCAGAGTTGTGGGGAAATAAGGAACAGATATAGAAGTTTGCTTCACCATACTTCTGTATCTGAGTTTTAGAAGTTCAGCTACACTCAGGCTCCCAGGGAAGATGCTGACTGGTTAAATGCCAGGGCTCACGAAGCACATTCTCTGGAGATACTTACTTACCATACTCACCTATTCTATGAAGAACTGGAATCAGCCTCTCTTCTAGAAAGTTTGGATAGTGTTGTCAGCAGGTATCCAAGGTTACCTCTTGGATATATGTGAGGAAATGCTTGATGGACTGGCAATTGTAAAATTAATTCAGAAAAGGTTCTCATACAATTTATTCAAGCTAATTTGTTTGGGTTCTTTCTATACACTTTTTTTACAGAATCACATCAACCCAGCCATGGATTTTACTCAGACTCCTCCAGGGATGCTGGCATTGGACAACATGCTCTACTTGGCCAAATTTCATCAGGACACCTACATCAGGGTAAGTGAAGCTGCTGTCTTTTGCAGATACCAACACCTCAGCAGCTCTTCTTAGTGTGTGTTGTATGCTTTTGTAGATTGTTCTGGAGAACAGCAGTCGAGAAGATAAGCATGAATGTCCCTTTGGGCGCAGTGCCATTGAGCTTACCAGGATGCTTTGTGAGATCTTGCAAGTTGGGGAACTCCGTAAGTACCATTTATTACCTTGTCTTTCCAAGTTGCTGGGCTGATGCCTCTGGAAGTAACCTATAGGCTGACCAATATTCACAAGCATTTGCACTTCAGTCTCACTTTTGCTGTGTAAGGATAGAAGGAGCTTGGAGGTGCAGTGGCAGTGTCCCAGTGATAATACCAGTATCAAGGTAAAGTAAGACATTTTGTTGTGTGCACTCCAGAGAAGAAATTCTGCTGGAGAAAAGTGGGAAAGAACTGCAAGCAGTCATATGGGGAGACTAGTATGAAAAGGGCACGTAAGCCACAGAGGCTTGCATGGTGAAGCATGGGGATAGTTGTCATTCCCAATATAGACTGTCTGTGAGGAGGTGAAGCATTGGAATGGTCTTAATCTCTTTGAGTTAGTACTATTGTACACCATCAGGTTTCTGTCACTGAAGTGGACTTCAGTTACTCTTAGTAGCTCTTGTGCAATATGCTCACATGGTTGTGGTTTCTGTTTCTTCCTGAAGCCAATGAAGGCCGGAATGACTATCATCCCATGTTTTTCACCCATGACCGTGCATTTGAGGAGCTATTTGCCATCTGCATCCAGCTGTTGAACAAGACCTGGAAAGAAATGAGGGCGACAGCAGAAGATTTTAATAAGGTCAGAGTGGAGAAGAAGTATTTTTGTAGAATCTTTTGCAGAACAGCATGAATTCGCTCAGCCTGTACACTTGATTAAAGAGTAGGGCACAGAAGGTATGACAGGGCATTGATGTGGGCTGTAAGGGGGGATGGTCCGAGTTTTATTTGGTATGACCTGAGGTCAGTTGTTCCATATGAGATCTTTCCTGCCACTGAGCTGTGCCCTGGTCCTCTGATGCCATTAAGCAGAGCAAGAATGCAACTTGCTTTTCTTCCTGCCCAACCTCTTTAGGTTATGCAGGTTGTGAGGGAACAGATTACACGGGCTCTCCCCTCTAAACCAAACTCCTTGGACCAGTTCAAGAGCAAACTGCGCAGTCTGAGCTATTCTGAGATTCTGCGCCTACGCCAGTCTGAGAGAATGAGCCAAGATGACTTCCAGTCACCACCTATTGTGTAAGTGCCTAACAGAAAAGGTTGCCTTCTATGCTTGCTCCATTTTCTCCATTTTCTGACTATTCTTCCATATTTGATTGCCAGGGAGCTGAGGGAGAAAATCCAACCTGAGATCCTGGAGCTGATAAAGCAACAGCGCCTGAACAGGCTTTGTGAGGGAAGTAGCTTTCGCAAAATTGGAAATCGCAGAAGACAAGGTAAGGTGACAGCATCTACTGCATTCTTTTCATGTGAAGAACTCTAGGCAGAGAAGATCTAATGGATTAATCTGGTGTGTTGCCAGAAAGGAAAGCTGCTTACTTGGGCTTTCTCTGCCATCCCAGTTTGGGATGGAACACGTGCATTTCTAAGAACACAGCCATCCCCACATGAACAGGAAGCAGTACTGAGGAACTGGGGGGTAGAGGAATTAGGAGGGGGGACTATAATGTAGTGGCTGTAAGACCTTATGTGAATGAACTTGCTTAGCTTACTCTACTTGATGTGTGTTCCAGAAAGATTTTGGTATTGTCGCCTGGCTCTGAATCACAAAGTGCTACATTATGGAGATCTGGAAGATAATGCCCAGGGGGAAGTGACCTTTGAATCTCTACAGGAAAAAAGTAAGTTCCAGTTACTGCTCTGAGCACGCTGTGCAGTGTTCTGTGCATTGCCATCTCGAGGCTGTTATGAAGTACCATCCTAGAGATGAGAGAAAAGGAGCTATGGCTGAAGCCCTGACACAAATGAGATCAACTTATGGTTCTCGCACAGACCCTGTGAATCTTGAAATTGCTTGGTGTTTCTTGTAACAGCCAACTGTAGGGATGTGTTACTGGTAATGTGTTTTGGAAAAGTGCAGTAATGAGCTGAAAACCAGGAACAATGCTCAGCTGCAAAGACAAAACAAAGTTCTGGTTAGGTTTTCTTGTTTGTGAGTTTTACTTTTTCACTGTTAGTTCCAGTTGCAGATATCAAAGCCATTGTCACAGGGAAGGATTGTCCACACATGAAGGAGAAAAGTGCACTGAAACAGAACAAGGTAAGTGCTCCTTTTTTGCCTGTAATTAACATCTAGTGCTGTCAAGTTGAAAACTGTGAAAGCAAGCAACAGGAGCAAATGGTCTTCCACACTGCAGGTGTATTGTTTACAAACCCCATCTCATATCTGGGTCTTTTCCTACTACTCATTTGTGATTGCTATAGGCTCTTTGGAGCTCCTCAGAATACTGATATGGGAAAGTGCTCTGAGCTGCAGCAAGGCAGCTTCTCTGGTTGGGTTAGCAGGCAGAAAGTGCTGTGATGTTTTGTTTAGTCCATGAGTGAAAGATTCTTTTTCATTCAGGAAGTGTTAGAATTGGCCTTCTCGATATTATATGATCCTGATGAGACCTTGAACTTCATTGCACCTAATAAATATGAGGTAAGAAACGTAATGGATAAACAGTAGAATATAAAGCAATTAACTTCAGAGATGAAGAAGGATCAGTTGCTTTTCATTAAAGGCCAGAGCAGGATGTCTCCCACCAGCTTCACTCTTAGAAAATGTTGCTGATGCTCAGCGTGAATCTTTTTTAATTTTTTTTTTTTTTAATATGAGAAATTACTACACTCATTTCCATTAGTCTGGGCTGCTGCTTTGTTTCCTCCTATGCAGTCAGTTGTTCCCTTTTCACTATTCTTTAAGACACTTGATGCCTAAAATAGCTTTGCTTTTTCTGTTGTTATGCTACAATAAAAACTCAGCCTTCTCCTGCAGTCATGGGGTCAAGCTTACCTATAGGCTTCCACCTTCCACTGGAAATCAATGTGGGCACTGTTTTGGGATGGCTTTTCTCTCCTCCCCCCTGCCTTAACTCCCATGTTTCCTGTTTTGGAGCTGTATTAAATGCTCCTAATCGTTGCATGGATGGAAAGACTCAACGTAACCTATCCTTTTATGCCTGGAGTTGTGAGTTATCTCCTTTTCCCCACAGTACTGTATCTGGATTGATGGGCTCAATGCTCTCTTGGGCAAGGACATGTCCAGCGAGCTGACTAAAAGTGACCTGGACACGTTGCTGAGCATGGAAATGAAGCTGAGGCTCCTGGACTTGGAGAACATCCAGATCCCCGAGGCGCCGCCGCCCATCCCCAAGGAGCCAAGCAGCTAC